ATTCACTATCCATTCACTATGCATGTACATGTAATAAGAAAATAATATACTATTGATAAAGTAGATTGATGATGAGCACATTTGCATAGCTATTCTAAAAAATATTTAAGGCACTTGTCATTTAATTAAAGTAATTAATATTGAAAGAGTTAAGACCTGTTGACTCATTAGCTGCACATGTGTCACACTGTTGTGGATGCGTGTGAATTTCAGCTATTAGAAAGTCGTAAATTCTGCACTAAGTTATTAGGAATTATCAATATTGTCTACATACTAAGACAGTTAATTTCAAGGATATACAGTACGTATTTAATGGCTTTTAATGGTTAACTTTATTTTTAGATTCTTCAAAAAGGAAAGTCAAGTAAAACAGAATCGTAAGTTAGTTTTGTTACTTTTAAAGATTCTACTATATCATTGTAGTGATTCCAAGCGCCCCAAGACTTTAGATTAACATTTTAAAACATTTGATTGTATCATAATAGCTATTAAATGATTTGGAAATAAAAATTTCTCAATAACATTAGATATCTTTCATACTATGTGGTGTTCAAATTCTTGTATGTACTAGTTGTGAGCAATTTTAAGAAATTGTTGATGTGATTTTATTTGCCAACTTCACTGTCTATTTGGAAGACCATTAATTTTGCTGCAATTAACTGGTCTAGGAAACTAGAAAATGATACAGACTCAGAACCTGTATATAGCATTCACTTAAGAACACCAGCATTTAATTTCTCCAGTAGTAAATCTGGATGACTGGTCTATTAGAAAAGATTAAGTATTGGTTTCATCGTCTATCATGACAGAATCAAGAAAAAAACAGTTCATGCTAATATGAGTGGACCTGAGAGAACCACTCCTATCCTCACTCTATTGTGTGGATTTTGTGATACATTTTGATTGTTTTAATATCAATTCTGCATCAGATGGCATGCATTTAGCTAGTAGATATCTAACAACTAAGTTGTTTTTAGCAGTTTTCTCCATAATATTTCTGTTTTCCCCATAAACAGGGCAGCCCCCAGCCAACCCAGACCAGGGGCACTGCCCTCTCTCTATTCTATCCTCTTGATCATATAAAATAAGAGAGAGATAAACTGATTCACAATACAAACTTACTGTCTATATCCTCTATTGTAATGCTAAGATGTCTGTATACAAGTACAACTCCTGATGGCATTGCTGAATCAGTTGGACCAGTTTCTATATATAACATAATACTGTTTTAGTACTAGTGATCTGTCTAGACAATTCCTCTAGACCGATTAGCAACTAGATCTACATTTATTCTAAAATTGAGGTGTAACAACTGTGGTTAGCTCAAAAACCGATAGGGTGGAAGCCTTGAAATAGTTTCAGCTGCCATGGATACTGTACAGTATCTATGTCTTTAATCACAAATGTTTGAGTCTTGAAAAAACAGTAGCTATCAACAGTGACTATCTTTTGCCAACATTGATACAAAAAATTGTCAATATTTTTTCCTAATTAGAAAAATAGAAATGTTAACTGTCATCATCTTGTATCCTAACTGTAGACCAGGTATAGTCCACATGCAGATTTTTATTCCAAGGAATTACTCTTAAGATGTACATATACATCACTTCATAAAGTGTCTCCTTTATATTATCATTGACAATGTGGAGAGTTGCACAGGTACTGTTCTTATATGGAGGCAGTATTACATGAAAGTTGAGGAAAAAGTAATCAACTAAATAGAGTGAGAAAGATGTGCAATACTATAAGTACAAATGAGAAATCATTTACATTGATATTTAGCAGTCCCTTGAGAATCAAAAAGGTAGATGTTCATAGGGGTCGATACATTTCCTCCAGTTAGGATGACACATATTTTGACACTGCTTTGGTTCTCAATAGCATCATATGATCTTCTTTCCAGGAATAAATTAACGACTATTATACAGACATAAACATTATGTAATCGTGTCAATCAAAACCACTCTCACTTACCATCATCATCCTCTACAGTCACATTCATTGTTCCTGGATTACCTAAACCTATATTACCAATGTTCCTTAACCTTAGTAGATAATGCTTATCAGGCTCCAGTGCAATGTTATTATCAACCACTGGAAAAACAACAGTCCTATTCTGTGGTATAGCACCAGTACCAAATGCAACAAAACCAAGTGATGTTCCATCTTCCAAAGCATAAAAAAATACAATATAATATTATAGACATACTGCTAGTTCCATCATCAATGTAAACTTCCATGGTTTGTTCTTGACTCAATTGTGCTTCTCCTAGTATGACAGTGATTGATTGATTTCCTCCTCCT